GCTATAAAACACAAGGACTTCCAAGAGACATAGATGAATTGCTTTTACTGTCAGGACTTCACTTGACAATAGCCAAACATTCCTTAACTCCGAGCCAACCACAACTAATAAGCTAAAATTCAAAGCCTACACCGGGACTGGTTTCACAAGACATTTTTCCACTTCTAAAAACAAAGGTACCACGTGGAAATGTATCCAACAATTCTTTGCCATTTTCCCCAGAAGCAGCATGGCATTACATCAACAGAATTGCTGCATGTACAAAGATGTAGGAGCATTCAAGTTCAAGGTTGCATAGAGCTAATTCGTACTAAAGTTTGACTCGCTAAGCTCTACAAAAGTATTTCCTCAATTCTAAAACAGAAGAGGCAGCAAAAGAATTAGTAGTATTAGCGTTACAGGTACCTGCCACCCTCCTGCATTTAAAACAAGCAGCATTAATGCTCATCTTTCTCACAGTAAGAGCAGCAAACAAGTTTCAAGTGTTTCTCAGAACACGGCTCTGAATTTATCACTCGTTGTCCGTGGCACTCACAAGCGCAGGTTGGCACAGCAGGGCAAGATCAGCCGCCACTTTGTGACAAAACTCCCTTCGAAAAATTTGCACACATCAGGAAAACCACGCAGAAAACAGCTGTTCCACAAAGCCCTGTGGAAAACACTCTGGGGAGTCATTACCCTGCTTTGGAAGGAGAAACAGCAAACGGAGACCCTGACACTTGTGGCTGCTGATTAAAGAAACAGACAAAGCTCTCACAAATCCCTTGCCACCAGCTCCACACCTCTGCAAAGAGCCTGCCCTCCTGCGAAGAGACAGGTCTGCTTAATTTGCTTATTGACTTTTCCACCATTAAATTTTCAGGCTAGATCTTTATAATCAGTGACCAAAGTGTTTCAGCAATTTCATTTAAGCCTGTCACTGCATCCTTACTCCAGTACAATCTTCACACACGGGAACTTCAGTACGCTCTTTAGGGAAGTTCCCTAATTTCGCTCTGGTTGCCACCGCACAAGGCGAATACCTTTGGAAAGCCTTTCCAACCGGGTCTTCACAGACTAATTTTCCAAAATGAGAGTCTGATTTTGCTAACTGATGTTCTGGTAGGAACCCCCAGCCCGGCCCCTGAGCTAGTGCGTACCTGTGTGCGCACAGAGCCATCCTAGGCAAACAGAACCCAAACCCTGGGCAAATAAATCCCAGGCATTTATTTACACAACTGGATATGACCACCTAAACCACGCGTACAAGGTGCTGTCCTGAGAAAGGGCAAACTGAACTTTTCGAAGACAAAGTTCTGCTTCCTCATTATACTCAACAAAAGGAAGAGATGCTTAAGAATAAATATGTCACAAATTTTACCTTTAGAAGAGAAAAACCACAACTAATTTCAATAACCACTTTGCATCACTCTTCAGGTCTCCCCAGGATCTATGTTAATTAATGGGACCATCAAAAAAAAAGGGGAGGGTGGCAAAAAGGTGGCTATAGTCTCCTCAATTTTAACATCATCTTCTAACTAGGTCCTTCTGCCACCTGCCACACGAAAACACGTGGGTCACACTGCGATAGCAGTACGTGCTTGGAGAAGTCATTTTGGGAGAACTCTGAAAGACTTCTGCCTTGTGACTACTCTGAGGGGTTGTATAAAACAAACATTAAGAAACTCACTTAATTCTGCCTAATCCAATGATCAAAAACCAAATCTGAAGGGCTTTATTTCTCTTGGAAAATGTGTCACTTTATAGGAACAACTTTGCATAAAGAATAATTGTCCAAAGAGATGATCTATTGAATAATATTAAGGGCAACTATGCCAAAGGCCAGCGCCAGTGAAGAACCAAACTCGCAGATCTCCAAAGGATTTTTAAAAAAGGTAAATCAAGACTGAAGTCTTCATGTCTGTATCAAGTCTATCACACGCTGACTTCTTACAGCTTTAAAAAACATACCAGAACCTTGTAACTTTGGCTTGAAAGACCTCAGTCACCACAAGTCCCTGTCTGACAAGTAATGACGCTTTCTTTCGCAACACCTTATTTACAAGTTAACACAAAATTTAGAGATAAATTACTGTAGTGCAAAGATTACCCGGTGTTAAATCCATACACAAAGTTACCTTTTAATATAAGGTAAAGGCAAATATAGTATGTTTGTCTGGTCTAAGCTAAAAAGCAGTCTCTGCTACAGCCTGGCAAGCAATAAGGGTGAGGTTCGAAGACTCCTCACATACAGCTTGTATATTTATAACATTGCATGCACTGGGCTGGGAAACGTTTTCAGGTGGCTGCTTTTTTCAGGGTTTCTTTTCTGTTTGCACATCAGTATTTCTGATCACATCTAACGCTCTCCTGGAATATCACCAGTATCTTTAAAGATCTGCGTGTAATTAAATTCAAACGCTCCTTGTAACTGCTTGTCAATAATTGGCTTATTTTGAAAGCAAATTTATACTTCACTGCTCAGAATTGTTAATTTGTTTACAAATCAGGTAGTGTGGAACACACCAGTGCAAAGAAACCATTTAATTTTGACTCCTGGCTTTAAGGACACAGAACCAGGAAAGACCCTTAGCAAAGCCACGAGAAACCTTCACTTTGGATTAACCTCTCTGGCCACAGGGTGCCTCTGCTGCTCCACAAATACTCCGAAGCTGAGCAAATACTTTCTGCTGGTTAATCACCATCTGTAATCCATGAACGGTACTCGAAATCGATCTCCTCAGGATAAAGGTAGGTCAATATTGGATCATCCCGAAGTGCTCTCATGAGCTGGGATTGTCAGACCTGCAGAAGCAACGTTCCCCTCGCTCGGACAAACCATGCGTTTTTATGCTATGCTACGAAAAACCCGCGCCTGGCTTCGCACACGCTCCGATGGAGAGGGCAAAGAGTTTTGATCGACTTTCTATACCGCCAACCAAGCCCGACGCGATGCGCTGCTCAGCACCGACACCGTTCGCAAAGCTTTTGGCATTCCCGAACTTCCACCGTCTGCTCGCCGGGGCTCCTCGGGCGAGCTGTGCCTTTTGGGCTCAGCCTCGCGCAGAGTCACCCAAGGCGCGCGCGTAAAAGTTTACAAAGAGCGTGGCTGAGGAGCGAAGGGTCACGAAAAGCAGTTAATCATCTGACTGAAGCTGGAGAGCAAGCAGGCAACGCGATCAAGTGATAAGGGAGCACAAACAGCACTGTAGCTTCAAGTTCTAGAGGGCTGCAGCGTTTTGGCGGGTTGCAGTGAAAGTGCTCCCGAGGTTCAAGCTCAACGGAACCAACGCCTCAACTGGAATATTCCCCCCGTACAGCACCACCGGTACCTACATTCGTACCGCATCGGCTCTACTTTAAACGGTGAACAAGGGGGCAGCAAAGGTAGCACACCGTAAAGCCTAGCAGTGACGTAAAACTTTCCATGTCACTGGGAAAAAAAAAAATAAAAATCCCGCAACGTTTCAAAGAAACAATTTAATCAGATTTCATTTACCGCACTATGTACCGAGTGGATTCTTCCACAGACATCTGATTTGCCATCCACCGAAGTTTACAATGTCTAAACAGTCTCACGTCGCAGGTGACTTAAAACCACTGTGTTTGTCCTCCCTGAACGCAAAGCAAAGCCCAGCCTCTGCCACATTGTTCCTTTCCAAGTGATTAAACACTACTATGAGTTTTTAAATTTATTTCTAACGTACCAGGACTACAAAAGTCATACAAAGAACAGGATAAAGAGGCAATACAATGCAATCAAAGCAAGCAGACACTCGAGCTCTGAAAAACGACACTTGACTAACTCTTTATTTCAAGAGTGCAAATCGTCTTTGCACACACAGGACTTCCATCAAGTTCAACAGGAGTCGTGTCGCCACAGCGGGTGCAGCAATGATACCCTACGGGCACGAACATCTCTGGACACAAAGCTTTGCAGTCTCATGTAAGTATTTACATCCGCCAGTTTGTACTGAAGGCTCACTGACACCGAACGCGCAAAGTTTCTAATGCTGAGTGCGTGTGTCCTTCATTCCACTTCATAGTGCAGCACCAAGCCCTTACCTTATTTATAAAGAAGGCTTTCAGCGAGGAAGAATATATTTTTTTTATACATATGCTTGCTTTCAAAGAGATTTATGCTAAAAAGGCCTCCCTCACATTCAGCTCTAGGCCTACAATGCATTTAAAAGTGAACAAGCTGCACTACGTAGGAAGGAGACAAGCTGTTTGGAGCAATCCTCTTTACATTTACACATCGACAAACGCACACAGAAGCATAGGTGCATGTAAACGAAGACAATCGGCTTCAGGAATCCTACACCCAACCCAGAGTCAGGTTGCAGAGGCCGGGTGGGCGTGGGGTGGAAGACCCAGTTCTGCCAGGCCCGGCGAGGACCCGCACGGTTTCTCGTCGGAAGAGTTTTTGAAAAACCAGAACAATCCCTGAAAGGGGCCTGTGCAGATGACGACTGCACTCCCGTTTTTCCAGTGGTTTCTCTGAGGTTCCCACTTGCCTGTCAGGTTTAAGTGGAAGGCTCCAGAGAAGAGAAGACAGGCAGGTAGGTATTCAGGTTTAGATCAGGTATCAGATGCAACCAGACCCTGCTGTCAGCCTGATTCTGGGACGAGGAGACGGATAATTTGTAACACGTGCTCCCCTCCACATGACAAGCTGCGACTACAAGACTCAAGACACGTACATTACTATTACCTCAACGCGTGCCAGCGTCCTGCCGCCAAGTTATTCAGCTGCTGAGGATGGAGTTGTAGGATAAAGCAACATATGACTAGCTACAAATGAGCAAAGAACAACCTCCCCCCGCCTTCTCACAAAACCCGAAATAAAACCCATCGTCTTTAATTCCAGACAACCCACAAACCTCAGTTTTGCCCTACAGGCAAAAACAATCACTGTATGGTTGGGTTTTTTTTTTTTCTTCTTCTTTTTTCCCCCCCTATCTTTTCATCTTACATTTGCTAACTCAAAATCCAAAGTCAGAAAAAATATATATATTTACTCGGAAGTACGTCAGTTACATTTTATTAACCTACTCCAAGGGAAAAGCTTCAGGGATTCACCATACAAGTATAAAACCCCTTTCAAACACCTCGGGGTTGCTATATTACTTCATCCCAGCAGTCAATCAACGCAGTAAAAAAATTAAAATACTGAAAATGGATGCTTTTCCCCTCTTCCACATGTCCAGTGATTGCTCCGTTTACAGCGTGATGAGGTCCACCAGGTTGCCTTTAGGAGGGGTCATGTTGTCTGGAAAGAAGTTGACTAGCGTATCAAACAGCTGAGTTCTCTGCGCGTACGTGTGGTCAACATCTGAAAATCCTGGGGGAGGAAGGAAAGGGGAAAGTAAGTCAGCGCTCGCGACCTGAAACGCTCAGTTTAGCCGTGCAACATGCCAGCTGTGCGTTTGGGACAGATGTGAACTGTTTGCTACTTGTGCCTCAACCAGCTAACAAGGCTGCCAGCTCTCCGCCCTACTACCATGCGCACATAGGCACAGAGATCACGTCACCCCAAGCCAACACCGCCATCAAAATGCCATAAAAAGTGGTAAGCAAATGGCTGTCAAGCTCATTGACAGTCCAAAAAAGCAACGGGGGAAGCCAAAGTCCTCAAGGGACTGCTCTGATGTCCCAGGAAACAAGATCTGCGTAGCTATTTTTATTTGGTGCATCATGTCTTCTGTCCTCAGGCTTTCCTCATGATCTTCACTACGTCTGAACTAGAACTGGTACTTGTATTGCTTGCAGTTTTTCTTGAGACAAGCTCTGCTGATGGTAGGAGTCCCAAGCCAGAGTCGCTGTTTAATCACTGGACTTGCACCGAGGACCCAGGCTGCATCTTGGCACAAGGGCGCTTTGAGAACTAGTTTTGTGAAGTGCTGCCTCCCAACAGGGGAGGGTTTACTCTGCAGGCAGAAGCATTGTTTATCCAAATCCCCATACTTAAACCATCAGCAGCAAGAACAATAGAGTGGGCATACAACGATTTCCTCTGCTTTGTATTACTTCAATCACTGGTATCTCAAAGGAATGCTTTTTAATTCAGTGAACTCACTCTTCAGTTAATCAAAGTCAAGTCTTCAAGTTAATCAAATCAAGGAGGGCTCGAGATTTTTGTTTTATTTTAGAAGCACCACTTTATCTATGTGTCCTCCTATCTGTAAAGCCAGCCTCTGAACAAACTATTGTACTGTGTCAAGGACTAATTCATCTTTTAGAACACTTAGAACTCGGGAAAAAAGAAGTTTCTGAAACTTGGGTTTTCTTCCTCGAAAAAAATTTGTCTTATAGCATCATCTAGATCATGTCTTCCAAACCACACAAGCTCAGCAGAGCTGCCTCATCCAGCAGGGCAGATAGTGCAGTGAGTTTTTTTTCTTCCCTCAGTTCCTTAGATCGCAAGTTACATGTTCGTCAAAATGTGAAGTCATCCACGCTCCTAGCAAGAGCTGGGTAACTCGAGGACAACACATCGTTGCAAGAATTAAGTTATGCCTCTAGCCTTCCTATAGCTCGACCAGGATTAATCCCTCAACTGTTTAAAAGAGTTAACTGGACAGAACAGTGAAACAAATTATGGCTTTGGCTCAGACCTCCTGTTTCCAGCCCTCCACGCCACTGTTTTCTTCGCTCCTGGCATGCTGCCCAAAGAACTAGTTTTGCAAAGAACAGAGCGAACTCAACTACTCCAGGAACTGCAGTTATCACAGCAAACAGAGCCGTAGCCATGCTGTGAGATTCCAAAGTGACATGACAGGAGGTGCTTTATTCTGACCAAAGCTTCTGTTTATTTGGGTAACAGTGAACCATCAGATGTAATCAGAAACACGAAATGACCCTGGGAGGCACGGGTTTAAAACCACTGGCGACAGATGTTTTAAATATGGGCTCGAGGCATTGGACACTGGTCATTATAAATAATTTCTCAAATGTCTATGTAGTGGCACTTTGCATATGCAAACCGAAAAGGGCCTACAACATTCATATCAGCTGTAACTTTTGATATAAAAACTAGTAGAAACTAACAGGAATTATCAGAGGGAACATACTTATTATAACTCTTCTGATACACAATACTCACACAATACTCACCAAGAGTGGTGAAATCCGAGCCAGACTTAAATAATGCTGAGGCGAGAAGCTGAAACTGCAGTAGAGGAGGTGGAAGGACAAAGAAAGAAAAAAAAAAGTATTATTAACTTCACAGAAAAAACCCCAAAGATTCACAGAAGTCCAAGTGGCTTTAGAGTTGCTGGGCTTTCTTTGCACAACCCTCAGAACTACTGTGATATATATATATATATATGTATAACAGCAGCAGACACTTTCATACGAGCAACACAATTTGTCTCCTTGGCAGAGCAAGTTGGATGGGTTTTCCTAGAATTAAAGCAGCGTTGATGCAATGAAAAGTACTTGACTGGGAGTCCTAAAACCTAAGTTTTGCCTTTCTAGCAGATACCACAGCGCAGAAGTAAGGTAGAGCCACACAACAGCTTTCCCAGGGATGAATGTGGTACAGTCTCAGCGAGCAAGGATGAGATGGCATGAAAACAGGGTAAATGCTACAGTGCAGCATGAACTTCTTGAACACAGAGAAAGCTTTAAATGGCAACAACCCTTCTGAACTGCCAGAGAAGCTCATGTTCGTATCAGTGTCTTTCTAATGTAATTAAAAAAAAGTTCTTTGCTTGGGAACATCAGAATCATGAGTAAAAGCATTTTAAGTTAACACATTCACAGTTTTCTTCCCCTTAATGTCTTACTGATAGACAGTGAACACAGAATCTTCCTCTGCCCCCGGCTGCTGTTTTCAGTTACCCATGTTGCAGCAAAGCTTAGTGCTTTGTCATGTTTCCTTAAAGAATTAGCTGATCTCTTAAAGGCTTGTAATCTTTTGTCTCCCGTCTGTGAGTGCTTACAGCACGAAGCCCAAAGGAAAGGAGTGGTAAAAGAAGAGAAAAGCAGCAGGTATGTTCAGGGAAGGAGTGGGAAAACCAGCCAGGAATCAGTTTAATTTCAATTTCAAGAACAAAAAAAATGAGAACACAGGCAATCTGCAGGCATCTATGAGTGGAGAAGGTGATGAGTAGCAGCCAACGTGGATTTGGCAACAAATTGTACCACATCCATCTGATTTCTCCTACAACAAGGCCCTACAGACGGGACTTGGCAATAGAAATTGTCCATTTTGACCTTCATAGGACTTCTGATGCTTCTATATGATATTTAAGGCAAATTATTGAGGCATCGCCTAGATTAAGCTAACAGGGACGGCAAATAGGTCGAGTAACTTTACCGTGGGTTGCCGTCAATGGTTTGACATCAAAATGGAGCCGTGAATCAGAAGTGATTCATCTGTGCCCCAGGGTCAGCATCATTCTGGGTTTGCGGTGATAACCTGCTCGACACAACAGGACATGGTCACCGAGTCCACAGACCTGACGCCACACTCAGGCTGCCAGCATGGTAGCACACAGGCTTCAGACTGTTTTTCCATTTCATCCAGCTTATAATGATGGACCAAAGTGCAAAGGGGCAAGTGCAGATCAACATAAACAGGAAAAATCAGCTATAGAAAACAGGTTGGGGTACACAGGCTCTATGAAAACACATTTAGGAGTCACAACAGATCAGTAGCATCTTACTGAAAAAACTAATTTAAAAAAAAAAATAAATCGACAAATGTGTAGAAATTGCATGAACAGAACCAGGATCTTCAAATAAATCAAGTACTCCTAGTGTTATCAACCACAACAGATCAGTAGCATCTTACTGAAAAAATTAAAAAAAAAAAATCGACAAATGTGTAGAAAATGCATGAAAAGAATTAGGATCTTCAAATAAATCAAGTACTCCTACTGTTATCAATGCTTGTAAGTCCCATCTACAACAAGGCAATCACTTTTGGATGATCTGTATCAATTACCAACGTATGAGGAAAGCACTAGAAAAAAAAAAAAAAACGAGTGGGCTGAAAATCAAGCTTTAAAAAGAAAGTTCAAAGGAGTCAGGGTTGCAAAACCTCCACAGAAGAAGGTTTTCCCGAGGAAGAAATTGCAAAGTCACAAACGTAGAAGATCGCTACAAAAAGGTAAATCTACAACTAAACGCAAGAGGCCACAAAAACACTCCAGCAAGATCAGTTTCAACATGACATCAAGAAAAAAAAAAACAGTCTAAAATAAGGACTGTAGTGCACTGGAATAAGTTTGCATCTTTGGGGGAGGCTATCCCGTGAAGCTAGCACTGGAGGTATTTAAGAACAGGTTAGAAAGAGACACGGGATTGACAAACTGCAGAACAGCGGGAAGAGGCTGATGAAAGCAGCCTCCTGAGTGCGAGGTCTGGTTATAAGAAATCAAAAGCGATTGCAACGCTACACGTGTATTTCAGCGCTAGAGTGACTTGTAAGAGTTGCTTGGCTCCAAATCAGCAACGTAATTAAACAGATGCCCAGCATAAACAGCGCCAAAAGATCCAATAAAACCAGTGGCTAAATCTGGGCTGTTTCTGATAGCAAATGCCACGTCCTGGCCATCTTTCCCTCCCACACAATTGCCTTACAGGCCTGCTGCCAACTGCCTGGTAGCGCATGAAGCTGGCTATACTGGGACAAAACGGACGCCACATGCTTCGAGGGGTTCCCTTGCCTCCCCCAGCAACGCCGGGGAGCTGTCAAGCCGCTGATGTAAAGCCAGCCATGCTTGAGGCTGGGTCTCAGGGTGTCCAACTAAGAAAACATATAAGCAGGATCCAGCTAGTAACTCAGTGAACTGAGACCAAAAATCCATTGGAAAGGTCCTCTGCCAAGAATTCCAGCCTCATCTGCACTAGGCACGATGGATTTTCACGGCTACGAGGTTCTTTGCAGCTTTGCAGGGAAGGAGTATCTTGTCTCCTTCACTGGTAACGCTGCACTTCAGTTAACCTTGGGGTTCGTTGTTTATGTTGAAACTATATTTTATGTATCATCTCACCTCTAAAAAGCACTTTCTGCTAGAAAAGTCAAGCACTGTCAGTTAAAAACATCAGTTACAGGCAGATTGAGCCTAAGCTGCTTCACTCTGCATTTGCATTACAATGCCAGCTAACAGTATGATGTTCTCCCAAAGGACCCCTACTATTTTTTCCCCAGTACACAGGACAGTCACTGCTTACTCAAGACCAGGTCTCCTACACACCATTCACAGCATGTATCCAATGCAGTACTTCCTTCATGAAGTTCAAACTCTGCTCTAAAGAAGGAATTGATTTCTTCAGCAGTTTTTCTATCATATTAATTGTTATCTAACACGCAGCACTTCAAATTCTGATTAATTTTGGGTCCCTTATTTGAAACTACCAGAATCTGATTTTTCAAATATTAGGCAGCAGCTTCTGAATTCACTTGCAGCCAGAAGAGCAAAGCCCTCAAGCAAATCACACCTCAGATCTCTCCCATCAGGCACCAGAATGAAAGACCCAATTAATGACCATCTAGGAAAAACAATTTGCTCAACGTCACATAGCAACTCTGTTACAGAGGCAGGATCAGAATTCAATTATCTAGCAGAAGCATCCAACTGCTTTAATCACACCACCACCCATTTTCTTCTGACAACCCCTCTGGTTCACTGGCTTCATCCATTCCAAATTAAGCCTCCATTCAAAAGACAAAAGTTCCCTTCATTATACAATTAACTTCTCTCTTGGAGATCCAAATCGCCTTCTAAACTGAGGCAGGGGTTTCCTTAGAGATAGATATATCTGGTTAACTAAAATAAGGCTATACTAGTTATGTACACCTGGTGCACTAATACAAGGTTAACGAAGAATCAACCACATTCAGAGAGGCCAAACGAAGACTACAAATATTAATTCTGGAATTTTCCAACTTACGACCTTCGTGTTTCCAACATTATTATTCTTTTATCAGTTGTGTGTACGCAGTCTAGGTTTCCACCTACCACAAGAACGCAATTCTGCCATGTGGCAACCTATGCAACCTGTAGCATGTGTGCTGCATGCCCTCTGCCTTTTCACAGAACCACAGAGTGTTAGGGGCTGGTTTGTGCAGATGAAACGGTTAACACTAAGGGGGAAGGAGTAACTCCTGCTTGGGATACCTGGCAGGTTGTACCGTTACGTCTGTACAGCGAGGGCTCAGATCACGCCGTAAAACGTTTTCTTAGCTTTGAGCGGTTCTGTTGGGATGGTGCCTCGTAGCGTAGGCTCAAAGCAGCAGAGAGAGGCGCCAATTCTTTGAGGACGGAGCTGTCACTAGCTGAAGTTGGGAAGGCTGAAAGCTGTTTTTGTAAAGGCTCCTTGGCTCCAAAGGCTCTGCTCCTGCAGCACTCGGACTCTGAGGCTTTACAAAGAATCACAGCAGGACACGAAGAAGAAAAGTCTGCTTTTCTTAGCTCCTTCCTAGAACTATTTTTCCCATTTGGGTTTCAATTTTCCCAGAAATATCAGTCTAACACAGACTCAAACAATACTTCTGGGTCCCGCTGGCTTTATCTGGCAAATTTATTAAAGACAAGGTCTTAAGAATGGAAAGTATGAAGCAGCCTTGAACAGGGGCCTCCAGCCTCAGCCTACAAGCTAGTCAGGCTTCAAATTGGCCTCCAGGTCCTGGCTTTTTCTCCTGCCATGCTCCAAGAAAAACATACTGCACGTTTTACTTGCACTTTGTTTTACATCAACCATGGGATTGAGCTTCACTAGTAGTTAAATCTCAATGTACAAAATGAAGGAGAACCTCAGTCCACCCCACCCCCAGCCATCTGATGCCAGTGCCAGCAATTCATGCCCAGAGCCTGGAGAGGGATCACAGGTCGGCAGGAAAGCACCCGAAGGGCAGCACAAAGGAATTCCAGCCAGTAAGCCAGCTTCATCGGGGGCCCAAGTTAAATGTCTCTGTGCAAACACAGGTAGCACGGGGAACAAACAAGAGAAGTTAGAGACATGCACGCACCTGCAGGGCTGTGATCCTACTGGCATCACAGAGACATGGTGGGATGCTCCTAGGACTGGAGTGTTGGAATGGAAGGATACAGGCTCTTTGGGAAGGACAGGCAGGGGAGACGAGGAGGGGGTCTGTGTCAACAACCAGCTGGAGTGCAGGGAGCATTGCCTGGGGATGGATGAGGAGCCAACCAAGAA